CATCCGGCATGGGCCTTGGCCACGTTCCTGGAACATGGGGCTGGTGCCACACTGGGGAACAGGGCTCAGAAAAGCCACAGCTGGTGCATTGTGGCTCTAGAGCCTCTGAGTGATGTCACTGTTTTACAGAGATCTCAGGTGTGGGCTTGGTCTCTTGAGACTCAGAGTTGATTGGCTGCAGCAGAAGCCACAGTGACATTTTTCTCAGAGCATAAAAGTAAGCCTATAGGTACACACTGTTCTGATATACTAAGCATCCTGTTCTCATTTTTTCTTTAAGAAAAAAATTCCCCTTTAAGAATCTCAGGACTGAAGCCTAATACTCTGAAGCAGCTGGGCCAGTCTCCCCTGCCGTGTGCAGAAGAACACAAGGTAACTGTGTTTTGTCTGAATATTTGTTCTTTTATTGTCTTGGAATGCATATGTTAGTATGCAATGACGATTTGATTCTTTACTGTGGATTGACGGGGAAATAGGCTGATGGTATGTAAGCGATGTACTTGAGTGGGGTTGCATTAGTCTCTGACCTACAGATGTCAGTTCCTTAGTGCGAGTCCAGTACTATGTATCTATAATAGTCTGAATCATTCCTTACCCAACAGTTTGGTAGTCCATAGGTATGTTACATGGATTGTGAAGGGAATAGTTAAGTGGTGGGGGTGGTGGTAATAATTCATCTGACTTAATTTTCTTTCTCTTTTGCCTCCTTGTTCTCTATACAAAGCTCCCTGGCAACACAAACAGCTCAGCATCTCAGGTCAAAGTGGTGGAGGTCAAGCCAGATGTATTCCCTTCTTACAAGTACAGCTGCACTGTAACCCTGGTAAGAATCTGTAGGCTAGGGATGTGTGTTCGGATATTTCCAGTCCAAATAAATATCCAAAAAATACCTTATCAGTATTTCCTGGATCTATCTGAGTGTCCGGATGATATCCAGGATTTTCTAGGATAACAATAGATGGGTCTCAAAATATTTGGGAGTAACTGGGAATATTGGGGGGACAGTGCTTTAAGGCTCGCAGGACTGTTTTTTTTAAAATTAAAAATGTGTGTATGGGTTAGTGTATTCTTGTCAGGGTGTGGTATCAGCTTGCCAGCTTGGATTCTGTGCTTTGAAATTGTTTCTGTTGGTCTTGCAACATTGTGTTCTTTATTTGTTTGCATTGGATTCTCTGGTTTGACATTGGGGGGTGATGGAATGCCAATTGGATATAACTGGAGCCAGGAGTGCCAATTGATTTGCATGAGCTCCATTGAAATGCATTGTGGCACACAAAAGTTCCAATGAAAATGAGGAACAGATTTAAAATGTCAGTCTTTGGACCCAGATAGGCTGTTCTGGGGCTGGAATGACAGCCCCCTGAGTGGAATGATAGTCCTTGGGAGTAGCAGAAGTGTTTTGGTGCCATTTGCTTTAAAAAAAGAAAGCTCCTCCAGCCCCATGGAAATATTCCCCACAGGGAATAATGGAGCTGAGTAATATCAGAATCCCAGGAAAAAGAAAGAAACTGGATCTCAGCAGGGCCGGCCCGAGGCGAGGCTGCGCCCTAGGCGAGGCTGCAGATGCCAACCTTCTGGTGGGGCCTGGAGACCGCCCCACTGGGAACCCAGTGGGAGGCCCTGGATGGGGGTGCTGAAGTTCGCCTCCCCCCACCAAATGCCAGCACCGATCCCCGAGGCTCCCCTCCGTGTCCCTCCACGTCCTTCCCGCCTGCCTGGACCCTCTCCAGTGACCCATGGCCGGCGGGGAAAGGCACCGGCAGAGCAGGCGCATGAAGAGGGGAGCCCGCGCCAGGGCTGCGCTTGCCGCTGCCTGCCGGGGGAGCCAAGGCTGCCAGAGCTGCTGCAGGTGCCGTCAGGCAGGAGGTATGCGCGCCCTGCTGCCGGTGCCTGAGCCAGCCAGCCCTCTGCCCTGGGACCACACGGCCCTTTACCCCCTCGTCCACCTACCTCCTGCAAGCGCAGCCCTGGTGCGGGCTCCCCTCTTCATGCACCCACTCTGCCGGCGCCTTTCTCCGCCGGTCATGGGTCGCTGGAGAGGGTCCGGGCAGGCGGGAAGGACGTGGAGGGATGTGGAGGGGAGCATCGGGGATCGGCACTGGCTTTTGGCGGGGGGAGGCGAACTTCAGCACCCCCATCCAGGGCCCGCCGCCCCATCCAGGGCCTCCCGCTCTAGGCGAGTGCCTAGTTGGCCTAGCGGGAGAGCCGGCCCTGGATTCAATACCAAACCACTGTTTGGGACCTGAATAACCAGGTATACTGATATTTTTTGTCTCCCTGACATCTGAATCCGAAAAATATTGATGAGGTCCAAAGGAGAATAGATACAGTCTCTCACATTCCTGACTGGCAAGAATTACTTGTTTATCAAGCAGAGTGAACAGTGACATGGTCAACCGGATGCTGTCAAAACCTTTCTTGAAGCACTATTTGAAACCTTGGCCACTTTCTAGATTTCAAGCAGGTTGTCCAAAGATTGACTATAGATGAAAATTATGCCATTGACTGTAACTGAATTGGAAGATGAAAACTTTGTGTCATTTATCCATTGTTTGAGTTTCATGTGGTTTGGTTTCTAGGTCACCATCCCATCTATCTCCTCTTCTTTCTCTTGGATTATGTCTTGTTATAATTTCAGTCCCTAAATGTTTACAGTTTGATTTGCACATAAACGTTGCAACTGCTAGTGTGAGTGTATGTGTGGTTTCCATTTCCCACCCACTGGTGGCTCACAGTGATTCAGTGAAAAGTAACATGTACAGGTCTTATTTTATTTGACATTAATCCCTTTTGAATAAGATTTGCCTTGACTCCCTGATGGAGCATTTGCCTTTTTATTAATACTAGTCTCCAGCATTCCTATTGGGTTTATATAGGCATCTTGATTTGTGTGCTTATAGTGTTTAAAGTTGACCCTGAAGCCAACAGTTTTAGCATGTTTGATCTCATTTTAGGAAAGCAGGAGGTAGACATAGACATCTGGTTGCCTTGTGGAACATATAGTGCAAGGGGGATAGAATCTGGTCTGTTTGTCTGCAGGATCTGGGGCTGGCAACGTCACGAGGCAGAGGCAAGTGTAAGAACCCTTCTTGCAACTATATATATACTAATCGGCACAAGCCACGGATCTGCCCCAGCTGTGGCTACAATCTTGCCAAAGACAGAACTGAGAAAACAGTGAAATCACTGGTGAGTTGTGGTTCTTTTTATTTTTAATTATTGTTGTACCTGGAATCACTTGATGCTATATAGAAATTTTAGAAAAACAGATGCCTCACGACGGTGTGAGCCCAGAGGCTTACATTTGGCAGTCCAAGAAAGGCAAGGTTCCAGAAGGAGTGTGGGGAGGTGTTTGGCTGGCAGGCCTTTGGAGCTGTTTAACATCCCCACCAAAGCAGGCAGCAAGCATTACAAAGCATGCAGAGCTGGTACTGTGGAGCCCCAGGCCGGGCAGCTTCTCATGAAGCTCATCCACACAATAGCAATTTCAATGGCAAAGTGATTTATTGAGAGACTGCACATTTACACATTCCTCACATTACTACGCAGGGAAACGTTGGTGCTGAACTTGTTTGTACGAAATCCAGAAAGCATCCCCAGGCCGGTGAAACAGATGATGATTGGTTGAAACATGGTGCACAGAAACCCATCAGTCCAATCCTGTTTTGTACATTGTTGCTTTCTCCACTCTCTTCTTCCCGCTGTCCTTGCTGTACTGAACTGAACTGGTGTCAACAAGGCATCAGAACGCAAAGGATTACTTTTCCCAATTATTTCCAAAAGGGTTTAAAAAATATTATTTAGATAACTATTTTAAAGAAAACTACATGCTGGTTTGCATTTTGAGCCTGCTTATCCCTAATAACAGGTACATCTTTCATTGTTAGTAAAAATGGCCTGGATTTGAAAAGGGTTTCTTAGGTATAATGGGATTGCATTTGAATTCTGCAGTAGAAATGACTCTACTGGCATGTGATGACCTTATTTTCCCTTCCCATTCATTCTCCTTCTGCGTGGCTTCCCATGCTTAATACAAGCATTTCTGGAGCAGCATGGTTGCTAATTCCCTGTGACACTCTGGTGGTAATTGGATGAAGAAATTGTGTGGGTCAGCAGGTTGCCCAAGCAAGTGACCATGTCAGTGCAGCTGATTGTCTCCTGGAATGTACTGCATTGATTATAACTGGCAGCTATGAATAGTTAGAAAAGGTACTTTTGGTACTTAAACTGTTGCAAAATTGTATAGGATCAACAAGCTCACAGCAAGTTCTGCTGAAACAGCTTATCCGCCAAATACTATCTGGAAATAGTTAGAAAAGGTACTTTTGGTACTTAAGCAGTTGCAAAATTTTATAGGATCAACAAACTCACAGCAAGATCTGCTGAAACAGCTTATCCACCAAATACTATCTGGAGTAGGACTGCCTTCCATGCCTTTCTAAATGTAGCAATGGAAGGCAATGGAAGAGCGCCAGTTTGGTGTAGTGGTTAAGTGCGCGGACTCTAATCTGGGAGAACTGGGTTTGATTCCCCACTCGCACCTGGCTGGATGACCTTGGGCAAGTCGTAGTTCTGATAAGAGCTGTTCTTGAAAAAAGAGCAGTTTCTTTCAGAGCTCTCTCAGCCCCACCTACCTCACAGGGGGTCTGTTGTGGGGAGGGGAAGGGAAAGGAGTTTGTAAGCCGCTCTGAGACACTTTTGGGTAGTGAAGGGCGGGGTATAAATCCAATCTTTCCTCTCTCTCTTCTCTTCTTCTTCCTCACCAACTGTAGCAGGCTGTTCCAAAGGTCTGAGCCCATCACAGAAAAAGCCCGTGATCTTGTTATGGCTATGTGGACAGTCTTAAGGGAGAGCACAGGAGGCTGCCTGCAGAATTTAATTGACACAGAGGAGTATACTGGGAAATGTCATTTGATAAGTGTGAGGGCTCTTGCCACCAAAGGCTTTAATGATAATAAACAGCACTTTGATGTGGGCCAGGAAACAAATAGGTAGCCAGTACAGTTGACACAGCACTGGAGTTGTCTGTTCTGAGTGGTTGACTCCACAGAGGAGCCTTGCATAGAGCACATTACATTAGTCCAAAACACTGATTGCAGTAGCATAGATCAGGATCGCCAGGTGAGCAGAATCTTGATAAGGGGCCAGCTGATGTAATGGAATGAGGGCACCAACCTGCTTATTTAGCAGCTGAGTTCAGGAGCTGGTGATAAAAGGCACTCTTCGCTATCACACCAAACCACTCTTCCAAGAGCAAGGCTGAGTGGTAAGAAAACTCAAACTTTTAACTTGATTTGATACATTTATTCTAACACCATCTATAAATAGCAATAACAATACATTTGACTTCAAATAGAGGCAGTGAGGTGGATTTAAACACCTCTACGGAGCTCTCCTCCAACTTAAGTGGCTTGTCCTCCAATGAAACAGCTGCTTGGATTGGAGGAACAATTCAAAGCTGAGCAAAAAGAAAAGGGTGGGCTGTAGTATAAATACTTCAATAACGAAAGAAACTTCTCAGTGGAGTGGTATGATATGGGTAAGATCCACCCCAATATTGTGATGCTTCAGATTTCTCAAGTGCCTTGGCAGAGAATCAAAGTGAGATTTTTCCTTTCTTTCTAGGAGGCCACTGCTGGCCCCAGGGATGTATTGAACACCAGTGAGCCTTTAATCCAGTCCCAAAAAGAAATCCAGCGCCAATCTACTCTGCAGCTTCTACGCAAAGTAATACAGATCCCAGAGAATGAATCTGAGCTGGCTGACGTATTTGCACTGATTCATGAACTCAACAGCTCTCGGCTCATCCTTTCCAACATGAACGAGGAGACAGTCACCATTGAGCAAACCTCTTGGTCAAATTACTATGAGTTTCCATCCTCTCAGTGTCTTCTCTGTAGCAGCCCCTTATTCAAAGGGGGCTTGAAGTAGGTTTTTCAACTTCGAGAGCTGAATTTATTATTGGGACCTTGTGTATAAGATTGCCTTTGGCTTAATGTTGGGGTTGAAATCTCACAATTGTATCTTTGTTAAATTCTCTTTATTTCAAGACTGCTCTGTGGTTTTAGAATCTTAGGAAGTTGTATTTGCATTTTTACTTGCATCTCTGTTCTGTGTATACCTCCTGTGTGCTGAAATTAGGATTTTAGTTCCATCTCTGTTCGCTTGAGATGTTTGGAGATAGCTTACAATTTGTGTATTCTGATCTTTTTATTGATGGAGGTTCAGAGAAATTCCATGTTTCATATGTGTCTCAAGACGTCACATTCCTAGTGCAGCCTGAATAGGCACTATGTCTGTGGCTTCCAGTTCATTTGTTTTTACGGCACACAAACACACACATATGGGAATGATGCAAACAGCATCAGACTGTGTGTTGTGGTTTTTCTACTTACAAAAGATGGAGACCAGTTTATCATACATGGTTAATTTCATCTCCTCTCCATTGTTACAGTTCCCTTGCAGGCCCTCAGGAGTGCTGGTTGCTGACAGCTAACCGGCTGCAAGTGGTCACTGCTCAGCTCAAGGTGTGTGTGAATGTGCAATGCTTGGCCCTCCACAGTTTCAATGATATATACACAGGTAAGTGAGTGCATTAATAAATCAGTTTGTAGAAGCCCTGGGCTTTAAGGGGAGGAATGCAAAACTGGGATAAGTGCATTTTAAATTATATGTTCCATGTGTCCGTATTATGTGTAGTAGCAGAGGCTGAACTTGGGACAGTTTCTCACTGTCTTATGATCTCTATTTCCGCTTCATATTAATAGCTGTTCTGTTTCCCAACTGCAGGCTTGTTTAATGTAGGCAACAAGCTTTTGGTGAGCCTGGACCTTCTGTTCACTATAAGAAATCATATTAAACTCGGCGAGGATCCTAAGGTGGCCATCAGCAGTATCTTGGAATCTGTGCAGGAGCAGACTGGTACTGATATTCCCCTTTCTTCTGTCTTTGAAGCAATTTCATCAGTCTGCCAAAATCGTGTTTAAAGTTATGGATGGGGTGGGCAGGGTGCTCATGTGTGTTTAAAAACACACACAACTTGGGACTTGAGCTTGCAATTACAGTGAGTAATCTAACTCTCCAGTGTGATGGGGTTTCCTCTTCTTTTAGATACCTCCTCAGCAATTTACAGTCTGTTGTGTCAAAAATGACCCTAGCTTCCATTTCACATTTTGTCTAGAACTGAAGCAGTTTCACAATATTCTTGGTGGCATATGCTGAGGGAAAAGCCCTTTTCCAGAAGGGCTGATTTCTTTTAAAGTTTAGCCAAGTGAGGAAGTCAGTGGGCAAAAGGGGGGGGGGCTGTTGGTATGCTGCAGTGACAGCTGAAAGATTAGGGCTGAATATCTGCTGCATGATCGTTATGCAGTGCCGTAGGCTTCAACAAGGCAAGTGTGACTATAGCTGCCCCATGGTACAGAGCAACTAAGGCTCTACAGAGTCCTCTAAGGTGATCTGTCATTGGGTTATCTGCAGACAGAGTATAAAGTTGCTTTCACAGGATCAGTAACTCCTTTCCTTCTACCACTGAAATTTGTAGTAAGGCTGCGGCTTTGGGTATGAATGTGACTGTAGGTATTTTGGTTACATGATTCATTTTCTATTTTTCCCAACAGAGAAAAATCTGAACACTGAGGAGTTGAGTCAGCTTGAGGAACTGCTGTGCAATGGATATTGGGCCTTTGAATGCCTTACTGTCCGGGACTATAATGATATGATCTGTGGTATCTGTGGCATTGCACCCAAAGTTGAGATAGCCCAGAGGAATGTGGAAAATGTTTTGTCGCTGAAAAATATTGAGGTAGACAATCTTAGGCATCATAACATCCAGCTGCACCTTTACAGTGTTGATTTTAGTGCTAATACGCTGTTTGCTGTGTTAAGCAATATTTTTATTTACTCCTTTGAAAACAAGAGAAGGGGGACTTTCAGAGGCATTACCTTGTTTGCCGACCTAAGGGCAATGGGTCCATTTTTCTTAACCTATATGGAATATGTTCTGGAAGAACCTAGAGCAGAGTGATCCAGTGAACTTCAAAGTCCTGTGAACTTCAAACTTAAATGTATAGGGTTGAGCAGAATGTATAACTGGTTAAATATAATCTTATAAGCTGTTCATACTTCTGTTTTCTCTCTCTCCCCACTTTTCACTGTTAAGTTTACCTGGCCAGAATTCTTGGCATCTAGTGAAGTAAATGTAGAAGATTTCTGGTCTACTATGGAGACTGAAGTCATAGAGCAAGTGGCATTTCCTTCCAGCATCCCTATCACAAAATTTGATGCCTCTATCATAGCCCCCTTTTTCCCACCGCTGATGAGGGGCTCTGTGGTTGTCAACACAGAGAGAGAGAAGAACTTTGAAGCACATACAGTTCCAGGTAATTTGTTTCTGTAGAAGTTCTGGTCTGTAGCAGAGTCACTGGTGTCTCTGCTTCTAGAACGACTGTATTTTCAGGTATGGTAGAATCTTTAAAAGGATGATATAGATGTTGCCAGCCCCTGTGTTAGTGCTGCTAGAAAACTCCAGCAGTCAAAATCCACATGAAAGTTGTAATGCTTAGATATTCCTCATCCCATTTGTTGCCCAATGACAGAGCCTGTGCACATTTGTAACAATCTCTGCCAGGGTTATCCTTACATGACACCAAACATGGTTGGGTAAATTAAAGGTTAAGGAGCCTTTAAAGTTTGCTACTTCTCCATGGATCTTCATGATGGGGAAGATGTTTTTTGCAATGCTGTCATTGCAGTTGTAAAATATAACCTGCCCCAGGTCTCCTGATGTTAGTTGGTGTTTTATAAATTGGATTCTTGGTTTTTCTCACTTTGGCTTAAGACTTGGGAAGGGGCTTCGCTAGAACATTTCACTATGAGACAAGAAGAATTTTCCTTCTATAAAGTCCCCTCACCATAAAATCAATGCCTAGGCTAAATCCCTCGACCTAGGAACACAACATTCGTGGAGAGCACTCCCACCATGATGTAGATGCTCACCAAGAAGGGATTTTTAGAACTTTGACCCCTAAGGGGGTCAAAAAGGGTAAAATGTGCTCCCCCCATTGCATCCTATGTGGCTGCCAGGCTGCTGCCTCCTTGCACCCCCCACTCTCTGATTGGTCAGCTGCAGAGCTCAGTGTTCTGAGGTGGAAAAAAACCCAGTTACAAGAGACTGCAGAGAGTTAATGACAGTTGAGGAAATGGGAATGGCCAACAACCACCTGTGAGGTGCAGCAATGCTGCTGGCCCAGCCTCTCAGATGGCTTCCAACACACTCCCCCCACCTCCCACACCTGACAGGCGGTTGTCTGTCAGGTGCAGCAGTGGGTGCAAGGTGCTTAAAACCATCAGGGAGCCCACCTTAGTGATCCTGCTGGCCCAGCCTCCACAATGGCTTGCAATACCCTGCCCCCTCCCCCCTCCCCCTTCTACACTGGACAGTCAGCTTCCTGTCAGGTGTAGGAGAGGGGGTGGGATGCTTACAGCTGTCAGGAAGGCTTGCTCAGCAGGATTGCCTTAGTACTGCTGCTGGCCCAGCCTTACCGATGCCTTTAAACACACTCCCCCACAACACCAGACAGGCCGGTGTCTGTCAGGTGTAGGAGCAGGGCCAGGGTACTTCCACCATGGAGGTTGCCTGAGCAGAAACACCTTAGCAATGCTGCTGAGCCAGCCTCCTCAGTGGCTTTAGACACACTCCCATCCACCCCTCCACCACCGGACAGGTGGTTGTCTGTCAGGTGCAGGAGCAGAGCATTGAAAGCCAGCATCTCCTTAGCAGTCCTGCTGGCCCAGCCTGCCCGGTGCCTTCAGATATGCTACTCCTCCTACACCTGACAGACAAAGGATTTCCTTAGTGCCGCTGCTGGCCCAACCTCCCAGATGCCTTTAAACAAAATCCTCCCCCCCTTACACCAGACAGTTGGGTGTTTCTCATATGTAGGAGCAGGGCCATGGTAGTTTAATCCATCTGGAAGGCCATCCCAGCAGGTTCACTACGAAGAGATTTCTGAGAAACATGACCCCTAAGGGGGTAAAAAAGGGGCAGAATGTGTTCCCCCAATTGTTTTCCATGTGCCTGGCAGGCTGCTGCCTCCTTCTCTCCCCCCCCCCCTTTAACTAGTCAAGTGTGTACCTCATACCTCTGAGGTAAAACCTGCCTGCTTGCACCCACATCCCTCTGACTGCTCAGCTGTGGATCTCAATGTTCTGAGGTAAAAACAGTTAAAAGAGACTGCAGACAGTTGAGGACAGTTACAGAAATCAGCAGTTCAAGACTCCTGAATAGACATTTATCATAACAGCCAGCATGGCAATTGAGTTTATGAATGTTCATGGGGAGATAGTAAAGGACCTTTCTAGGAGCCTGCTCCAGAGTGAGCTCACCAAGCAGCCTGGTGATCCTAGCACCTGAGGGCAGAATCACCACTGTTGTCTACAGACAGGTAAAGGGGAAAAAAACCCAGTATGTATGTCTCACTTCATTCTTTACAGTACGATCTTCTCCATTAGAATTCCTACAACAAATGTTACCTTTCAAACTTCACATCAGCTAAACAAAAATGATCTCTTGCTTTTTAGGCAACGCAAGTTTTCTGGTGAGGCTGATTCAGGATGAAGCCTGTAAAATGGAGCAGATTGGTTCTTACAGCAAGGAAGAGCTCCAGAATGTCTTGACACAGTGCAGTATTCCGTGGGATGCGGGTGACTCAAAGGTAATGGAGCTTTTCTGTTATACCAAATGTATTAGAATTTTAGGACAATAATTATAATTGTTATTACTAGTAATCAATTTAAAGTTATCTAAAATTTTAAAGCATCACGCAAAACAATAAAAACCGGAAAACCTCCTCTCCCCCAATCAGAGGTACGTATCACAGTCTCATTTACGAAAATGGAACCAAGTGCTCCTTGAGATCCTTAGGATGCAGACAGCAAAGCTCCTTAAATTCATCTCAGAAACATACAAACCACTGTAACTGCTTTGGCATAGGCATCATATAATTTTTGCCTACTCATGCCTGATGTTAAGCTAGCCGTAGTATTCTGCACTAGTTGCAGTTTCCAGCCCATCTTGGCAGTCAGCACAACATGGCATGTGTCTAGAAGTTATGACAGGTGGATCTTCCTGTCTTCCAGTATAGGCTGCGACTGCCAGAGCTGGTAATAGGTCTTCTGGGCCATAGCCAGATCCCAAACACTCAAGAGCAGCCCTAAATTGTGACCCTTGTCTTCTGGGAAAACAAAAGACAAATCTTTTCACTTTTAGTTGGTCCATAGAATGGACTTCCCTGTTGTTGTTGTTGTTGTTGTTGTTTTAAATCAAGATTGAGTTTAGAGCGCTCATACACAACTTCAAGACTGACACTGTCCCATTCCCCCTCCCCCCAGAAAAATGAAAAGGACAGAGTTTGGTGTCCACAAAGTTAAAGCTGTACTCAGTAGTTCCGGATGGCTTTAGTCAATGATGTCAGGTAGATATCTAAAAAGTACAGGAGATCAAATTGACCCTTGAGAACAACAGCCTCTTACAAACTTCTGAAATCTACTGACCGGCGAAGAGCAGAACCATAGCAAAGTAGAGGCCCTGAATCCCCAACTTGTAAAGCTATCCAGAAGGATGTCCTGGCTAATAGCACGAAAAGCCACTGAGAGATCTAGGATAAGTAATAGAAGCACACTTCTCTTGTCTTTTTCTCAGCCTCTCTGTGGCAGCTAGTGCTGTCTCTGTCCTAAAACCAGACGGAAAGCCAGTTTGAAATTAATCTAGGTAATCTGTGCGTATTCCCATGTCAAACTGGGTGAAACCTATGGAAGAAAATGGGATTAGTTTGTCCACCTGACGATATCCCCCTCCCCCCATTGCATCATTTCAACAAACTATAACTTTATTCATAGGTTGTCTGGAAGAGGTTTACTATTCATGTATACCTGCCTCTAACATCCCTGCACTTCTCTTGAAGGATCAGCTATGTTCATGTGGCTTTTTTTGTTTTGTTTTTGCTTTGCTGGTATGCTGATACTTCCTAGGAGCAACTCTGTCTTTCTCTGCTGGCTCTGTATGATTTTGTACAGAATGGGACACAGATCAAACAGCCCCCTGCACATTTGACTGGTGGAAAAATTTACAAAGTGTGCCCACACCAGGTGAGTTTGATTTAAAAGTTGCACTATTGCATGGGAAGTGTGGACAGCTGATCAGAGCCATGAAATGCTTCAGCAACTTTGATATTTGCATTATAAAGTGTAAGATATATGTAAGTAGAAATTGTCATGGTTTATGTGTTATGTTACATGGCTAGATTGGCTGATACTGTTCTTCATGGCTTCCAGCAAAGAAGCAAGCCTTTTATGTGGTAATTAGAGACAGAAATTTAAGTGTTTGCTTTAGCGTGGTCTGTCTTCTTTTTGCCACCAGTGGAAAATGTCTTCTATAATATTTAATTTAGTTTGTTTGCAGAAAAGATTCAGTTGTTGTTCTGGCATTTGAAAAGCATAGGGTGGCAATTGAGAGCTCAGCTGGGTTCGTTTTTATTCCCTAGGTGCTTCCCTTTTTTTCCAGTGTGTTGCACCAAACCTACTACAACTTTTATCTTCCCAGGTCGTGTGTGGCTCAAAATACATTGTGAGAGGGGAAAGTCCCCGGGACCATGTGGATCTCCTAGCCTCTTCACGCCACTGGCCACCAGTCTATGTAGTAGACTTGGCCACTTCTGTGGCATTGTGTGCAGATATCTGCTATCCTGACTTGACTGCTCAGATGTGGGGGAGGAACCAGGGTTGCTTCTCTGACCCCATGGAACCTTTAAGGGTTAGTTGCCTTGCTCTGTTGCACTGTTTTCAAAGCGAGTGAGAGCATTTGTGATGTCCTCTCTAGAGATGTTATTGAGAGACGGGTGTACGTGGGAAGGGTCCCAGTGGTCACAGTTTTCTGTTTGCTACAGTCTATACCATTTTTCAAATATTTGTTTTGCCTACTGCATTCAACTTTAGGTTATTTAAAATTTAATTTAAAAGATAGCACTATCCATCATGGTATACTTGTGTGATTGGGTTACCTTTGCAGTCATCTTCTGTCCTCCATTTAAGGACTACACCTGTTTTTCAAACTCAGAGTATTGGAAAGAATGGCATATTAGAATGGTAGATGGTGCTGGTTTTTTAGTCAGTCGAATACTGGATGGCTATTTTGATGAATTGCCCCAAACTGCATATGTTAGCAGAAATGGGAACGCCTATAAATATATGAAGCTGTCTTAAAGTGACTTGGACTTCTAGTCCATATATGCATTCTATGCTGTTCTAAGGTGAACACTATAGTGCTATAGTGCCACCAGTGAGATGCATTGACTCCATCAATGGTGTCGCTATAGCACCAAAGTGCTACAGTGCTAAACCGCTATAGAACATTTTTTACAAGTTTGAGGAAGATCGTGTGGTGAAAAAGGGCGGCGGGAAAGCGGCACTGTGCGAAATGACAATAGCACTTCAGAGACGGCTCGTTAACAGAAGGAAATTTGCTGTATGAAACCCCCATCCCTGTATCAGCTTTACTCAAAATTGGGGCAGCAGTGGGTAACATCTGGTTTAGAAGGGTGATGTGAAAAGGGCCGCAGTAAGGAAATACGATTCAGTGCCTGTCTGAAAGTTTAAGTGTCCAGGACGGGTGTTCATATCTCTAATTCATCCTTATCTCGAGTGCTTTTTCCAGTGGCAATAATCAGCTATTCCTATTAAAATAAATGGAGAACTAAGCATGGAAGACTATTATTTACGAGAAAAGTGTATGGCCACTTAGGGGGTTGAACCCAGCAGCAAATCCAGTGCATTCAAGGCTCTGTACTGATTCCTGTTATGGGTTTAGTTTATTTAGCCAGTTCTGATGGAGGAAACTAAAAACAACAACAACACTACCCTGGTATGAAATAACTTTTGTTTTCTTTCTCTCTCATCAGTACGTGTCCTGCCCAGAACTTCTGGACAGACACTACAATGTGGACATGACCAGTGCTGAACATTCTATCCAGCACCCAGTCACCAAGTCTGCATCCCGCCGAGTAGTTTTTACTGGGACAGAGCAGAGCACTCAGAGTGACTCAACAGCCCGACATCATTCTCTCTCTCTCTGCCGGGAACTAGAACCCTACAGTGCCATCATTGCAGCCATCAATGATAGCAAAACGAGTAACGTCCGCCAGAGGCCTATAACCTTTGACAGCGCAACCCACTATTACCTCTACAATCGCCTGATGGATTTCCTCTCTAGCCGTGAGATTGTGAACAGGCAGATTCATGAGATTGTGCAAAGCTGCCAGCCTGGTGAGGTGGTGATCCGGGATACCTTATACCGCCTGGGTGTGGCCCAGATCAAAACAGAAATGGAGGAAGATGAAGAAATCCAAGGAGAGGACGGTGTGGTTTAACCTACTCTGAAGTGGTTGTCTTCTAGCCATAGAGATATGAGAGCTAGGCTGTCGAGGCACCCCTGCAGATAGCTCAAGCCGTTTATCACGCCGACGAGTGCCAGGTCTGAACCGCTTTGACAGCTTACATTGACCAAAGAGTCATGTGCTTCCATGAAATCTGGATTTACTCCTGTGGGTTCGAGATCTGCAAAAGCCTTGCTATAAAAAGGGCAGTTTCTCTTTCCAGTATGTCGTTTGGATCTGTAAGCTAGCCAGGACAGGGTGGCGTAGGAGAGAGAAGGATGTTTTGGGTGGCTGGAAGCTGGCAAGGGGAAGGCAAATGGGTTTACAGTAGAACTTGGCCTGTTTTTGAAGTGTATACATTGCTGTGTTTTTGGGGATCGTAAGGGGATGGAAAAGAGCAGAGAATGTTTATGCACCCCCAATGCTATAGCCTATGTTTGATGGTCATAATAGACTGATGAGCCTCTTCTGGAGCCCCAGCTGTTCCTGGGCCCCCCCCCCCAGTTTGGGGGGGGGGGGGGGGGTGAGCACGTACCCGCTTCTTTAGCTAATTCTCTCTCAACCTGAGGAGTGAACTGTTTTTAATGGAAATGTGAATTAAGGTGTGATAGATCTGTAATTGGCTGGCATGGTTTTACAGGCTCTTCAGGGATTTGTACGTTTGGGATGATGAAACTAGGCTGTTGGTCAGGAGGGGATCTTCAGGCTTCTGCAATCTCTTTTCAGGCACTTTATTTATTTATTTTATCCCATCCATAGACTTCATAGGTTGTCATTCATTTAGGGACACCATGAAGGAGTACTTGTGCACCATAGCTGGATTCGAGGGACACAGTCTGACGAGACACTTTTCTGACTTGTGTCCCTTACTAAACGTTGCTTGGGAGAATATGCAGCACTTGACCGTCTGGACCCTCTGAAAAGCCACTACATACTCCCCAGTTCCAGAATTATAAAACTGTCCTGGGTTTCATATTGGGTTCTGAACACTCTGTTCTGAAGAGACCAGCGTTTCCCCCCCTCCCATATATTATGTTAAGCCGTGTTGTGTAAACAACTTGCATTGTCCACTGATTCCCTTTCGCTCTTGGCCATCCAGAAATCTGAGAATTGAAAATAGTCTTCTGCTGTAGCTGAAAGCAGGAAATCCGGAGTGCGTGTACGTGTGTGAGGGGTTCAAGTATGTTGTATTCATTGAATGAACAGATTTGTGGTGTGCAGCTCCCTTCTGTGAAGGATTCTAGTGTGTACTGTGCTGTAAAAAAACATGTATTGAATTTCTGAGCAAAGATTATGATTTACTCTTAAATGCTAATTTATTAAAGACACTTTTTCAGTCAGCGATGAGCAGTAATAAGTTATTGTTTCCAGTGTTTGAGCAAGTCTTCCTCTCTTGGCAACCTAAAGACTTTGAAATCCAAAGAAATGCTGATTTGGGTTGCTGTGGATCTCAGTTCCCATGAAATGTATGGACAACCTTTGTGGAGTGTTGTCATAGGTCTGTAACAACCTAAAATATTGGTTGTTTTATACAAGCAGGCAATTCATAATTTAAACATTGTTATACTCTCCCTTTCTAAGGCAACGATGTTCTTACTCTCCCTGAGGTTGACCGTTTGTGTGTGTTACATGCTGCCAAGATGTGCTGTCAAGTCTCTTTCGACTTGTGGTGACCCTACGAATTAATGACCTACAAAATATTTCATTAACAGCATTGCTCAGGTCTTGCAAACTAAAAGCCCTAAATATTCCTTGATTAAGTGAATGCATCTCATGTTAGGTCTTCCTCTTTTTCTACTGCCTTCAGCTTTTCCTAACATTACTGTCTTTTCCAGGGAGTCTTGTCTGTTGGGGGGGGGGGGGGGGGAC